AGCCCTAATATATACACAGAATTCTCACAGTTGTGAGAAAAACTGTGAGAGAAAAATTCAGTTACCTTTTCTATTTTTTAATCCCAAAAAACAAACCAAAAAAAAAAAGTGAAACTCAGAGGAAAACAAAATATAAAATCTGAATTTCAAGATGTAAACTCAGAATTCAGAGGAAAAAAATTTTAATTGCAAGATATAAACTCAGAATTGCGAGAAATAAACTAAAAATTATGAGACAAAAAAAAAAATCTGAATTACGAGATATAAACTCACAATTGTGAAAAAATAAGTCATAATTGTGAGGAAAGTTCAGTTACCTTTATTTTTTATATTGTGGCGGCAACAAGCTTCTACATCTCACTGTTGAAAATGTTGTACTCGTTTAAATTAGAGTGTGTATTTATTAACTCCCGTAGTTTGTTGTTGTTTCGTCTCATCGATGTCTTTTTCGACTAAGAAATGGCAAGCAGTGTTGCCACCTTGTGGTCAAACGAATTAGTGTGAAAAAAACAAAGGCACATTTTTGAGCTGAGCGTACAGCTTACGCACGGTTAGAAAAATCTTGACTGTGCACATAATATGCTAACGATGAAATTTGCATCATATGCACAGGAGGTTATGCTACGCCTATGTCATCCGCTGGAACGCCACTCTCTAATGAATGCGTTTATGACAGTTAGCGGAAGCTAGAGATTACGGTTTATAATGTTTTAAATACGGATATTTTCAAATGCATTGCTTTTTTGAAGAAGGCCTTTATTAACCCCCCGGAGCCGTGTAGAGCACTTTTTATGATGGATGGATGCCCTTTTTTGGGCTTCAAAATTTCAACCACCATTCACTGTCATTATAAAGCTTGGTAGAGCTAGGACATTTTTTTATATAACTCTGATTGTATTCGTCTGAAAGAAGAAAGTCATTTACACATAGGATGGTTTGATGGTGAGAAAATCATGGGGTAATTTAAATGTTTGGGTGAACTATCCCTTTAAGTATACTTTGGGCTTCATCACTTCGTTTCTGCACCTAACGCAACACACATATTTCAACAAACATACCTGTTTGAGTGCATTGCGCGCGATGGTCTGGAAAGCCTGCTCTACATTGATGGCCTCCTTTGCACTGGTCTCAAAGTACGGGATGTTGTTCTTACTCTGACACCAAGCCTGTGCCCGCTTGGTTGTTACCTGAGGGTGAAAAATATGAAAGAACAAAAATGTGAAATTCGCAAAGACTGCAATTAAGGTCATAGATACATGATTATGTTAAAAATGAGAAAAAGTGAACAGTGTTTGCCCATGCGAAAATCTCCACCATGAAACTAGGCAATATGGCTCAGGCCCTTCAATGTACACAACAGTTTCATAGTTTGAATCAGTGAGAATACAATCAATTGATCAAAAGTGACAGTAAAGACATTTATAATGTTACAAAAAATCTCTTTTTCAAATAAATTATGTTCTTTTGAACTTTCATCGAAGAATCCTGGAAAAAAAAGCATCATGGTTTCCACAAATAGATGAGCACCAAATCAGTATATTAAATGATTTCTGAAAGATCATGTGAAACTGAAGACTGGAGTCAAGTGTTTGATGATGGCAAAATGTAATCAAAATACAAAACTAAATAACCAATAGTAGCTGATATGTACTGATATGTACTGTACTGAGAAAAACTAACTTGGAAGTTTTTAGAATTGCGTGGGAAAACAGTATGTCCAGCTATAGACAGGCTCTAAAAGCTGCCAGGGCCGAGCAATATAAACATCCAAAAAGTGAGTGAGTCAAACGTTTGAATTCTGAATCAGACTACACTGATCATGCTGTATGTTTGTTACCAACAAAATCAACAACAACAACAAAAAAAAAAACATTGTCTATTTACTTTTTTATTATTACTACTATTATTTTGCTGTACCCTTTTAAGTACAAAACTTCACACAATTTACTTGTTTTTTTCTCATGGTGCTTTATATTTAGCACCGTCACCACTATCTATTTGAATCTTTAATCTATGAACACTACTACTTCTATTTAACAGAATGCTCTAAAATTGAATTCTTAAAGGGATGGTTTACCCAAAAATAAAAATTCTCAATTTAATCAGCCACTGACCTAAATATTATGGGGGGAAAAATACTATGGTAGTCAATGGCTACCATCAACTGTTTGGTTACCCACATTCTTCAAAATATCTTCTTTTGTGTTAACAAAATAAAGAAACACATGAAGGTTTGTAACAACTAACAACTTCGTAAATGAACAAGAGAGTGAACAATCCCTTTAAAAACTAAATGTGGCAGTAGCCTCGACTCTCGACTTGGGCACTGTGCTGAATGTGGGAACTCACCCGGAGTCTCCAAGGATGATCACCTTCAGAAGAACTTTCTTCCTTGATGTCATAGTGTCACAGCTGGGGAGGAGAAAGCACAGAGCATGAAGCCAAGATTTCAACAGCATAGCTCATATGAATAAGGAAGTGAAAGCCAAAACTGGTTGTACTCAATCGGGCCTATTTCAAGGAAATGCGGACAGGACAGGAGCCTTGTAGTATGTAGTAAGCAAACTGCTATAGCTACTACCACAATCACCCATTTGATTGAACTTACACACTCTAAGTGTGCTAAAAAGGCCTTTTTTGTTTCAAGGACAAAACCCATTATTCTGCTAGCACTCTCAAATTGGTCATGTGCACTCTAACTACCAAAGTCACGAGAAACGCACTCTCACAGACAACATGTACTGTTGCCTACCGTTAAACATACAGACTTCCCTTTTTAAGAGGAGGGCTTGAACGTAGAGTTTACTAAACGCTTCTCCATCTTTCACTCAATACAGATCCATCTGCTGAGGTACTGCTGTTTATCCAGGCCATGAAAGTGAGGGCATGGATCATTGCTAAACACTTTAGGAAGTAAATCAAAATGTCAGCATTACATGGAACAGCACATCCTATAACAACAACAACCACCAACAAAAAAATAGCTGCCATTAACAGAGGGTCTTAGGTCACATGGTGCATTGTTGTGCCAATACACAACATTTGAATGGCAGAGCATGAAACGATCATAAATTATGGTGATTACAACTTATTTAATTAAGTCATAATTTTTCCATGTTATGGGAGATAACCGCTAAATGGATAATATTAAAATTCAATACTATTTTGTCTTAATAAATTAAATTATTACTAAAGGCTAAAATCAATGATTTATAAATAATAATTAATTATCAAATGCTACAACTGAATTTAGGCATCACAATATTATAATGTACAGTAAGAAAAATGGATTTTGGATGTTTTCAGATTATTTTTTAATATATATATATATATTTTTTTTTTTTCAAGTGTTCATGTGTTTGATGATGGCAAAATGTAATCAAAATACAAAACTAAATAACCAATAGTAGCTGATATGTACTGATATGTACTGTACTGAGAAAAACTAACTTGGAAGTTTTTAGAATTGCGTGGGAAAACAGTATGTCCAGCTATAGACAGGCTCTAAAAGCTGCCAGGGCCGAGCATATCCATAAACTCATAGAAAATAACCAAAACAATCCAAGGTTTTTATTTAGCACAGTGGCTAGATTAACAAATAACCAGACGCCACCCGATCTAAATTAGGGATGCGCCGATACGATATTCATATCGGGTATCGGCTCCGATAGTGCCATTTTTCTCGGATCGGGTATCGGTCAGAGAGAGCCGATCCAAATCCGAGAATTTTTTTTTTTCCGATTGTGCGAATTATTCTGTGTTACTTCTGAAGCCATACGATAGCTTAATGTGAGCTACATATGAATATTTAAGTCCTTACATTAAAGTTCACACAAACTCTTTTCTCCGCTGTGGCTGTCAGTCATTCGTTCAGCCTTTAAACCCTGGTCACATTCAGTTACAGCAGTCAGCTTGGTAAAGCTCTCTCCAAGATCATTCTGTGTTCCCATTATACTTGATTTGTAAATACATGTCTATGATTTTGCAAAAAGGACTTTATCTTCTTGCCGGAGTTTAATGTTGTTTTGTTACTTGCTACCGGATGTCTGTGAGAACAAAACACGAGCGTAGAAAAGATTATAAATAGTTTTTAACGTGCACAGTAACTGAAATTTAAAACTGTTAAAAGAAAGGCTCAA